GATGTTACAGAGTCCACCTTACTGGATGTCCTGCTGACAAACCTCATCAGGGGGAAACTGCTTCCCTCTGCTCTCCTCTGGATAACCACAAGACCTGCAGGAGCCAATCAGATCCCTCCTGAGTGTGTTGGCATGGTGACAGAGGTCAGAGGGTTCAATGACCCACAGAAGGAGGAGTACTTCAGGAAGAGATTCAGAGATGAGGAGCAGGCCAGCAGGATCATCTCCCACATCAGTAGATCTAGAAGCATCCAGATAATGTGCCACGTTCCAGTCTTCTGCTGGATCACTGCTACGGTTCTGGAGGATGTGTTGGAGACCAGAGAGGGAGGAGAGCTGCCCAACACCCTGACTGAGATGTACATCCACTTCCTGGTGGTTCAGACCAAAGTGAAGAAGGTCAAATATGATGGAGGAGCTGAGACAGATCCTCACTGGAGTCCAGAGAGCAGGAAGATGATTGAGTCTCTGGGAAAACTGGCTTTTGATCAGCTGCAGAAAGGAAACCTGATCTTCTATGAATCAGACCTGACAGAGTGTGGCATCGATATCAGAGCAGCCTCAAAATACTCTGGAATTTTCACACAAATCTTTAAAGAGGAGAGGGGGCTGTACCAGAACCAGGACAAGGTGTTCTGCTTCGTCCATCTGAGTGTTCAGGAGTTTCTGGCTGCTCTTCATGTCCATCTGAGCTTCATCAAGAATGGAGTCAATGTGATGGAAGAAGAAAATAAAAAGATTTCATTTTTGTCTAAATTATCTAAGACAATAAAACTAAGAAGTCTCCATCAGTGTGCTGTGAACAAGGCCTTGCAGAGTCCTAATGGACACCTGGACTTGTTCCTCCGCTTCCTCCTGGGTCTTTCACTGCAGACCAATCAGACTCTCCTACAAGGTCTGATGACAAGAATGAGAAGTAGCTCACTGACCAATCAGGAAACAGTTCATTACATCAAGGAGAAGATCAATGAGAATCTATCTGCAGAGAAAAGCATCAACCTGTTCCACTGTCTGAATGAACTGAAGGATCACTCTCTGGTCCAGGAGATCCAACAATCTCTGAGATCAGGAAGTCTCTCCACAGATAAACTGTCTCCTGCTCAGTGGTCAGCTCTGGCCTTCATCTTAGTGACATCAGGAGAAGATCTGAATGAGTTTGACCTGAAGAAATACTCTGCTTCAGAGGAGACTCTTCTCAGGCTGCTGCCAGTGGTCAAAGCTTCAAACAAAGTTCTGTAAGTATTGACGGAATTTGAGTTTTGACAAGAAATAAGAATATTAACATTAATATTCTCAGCTAAGGTCATATTTAAAGTTCAGAAGTTATGTTTTACTCACACTGTTGTTTTAAAGACTAACAATTATCTAAAAGGCTTGTCTAAAAGGCTGAATATTAATTTTAAAGCCTTTAAAGCCTTCACTGTCATGAAGCGGTGTTTGTATGGAGGACCCAAATGCAGAGACCAGTAGGCAGAGGTGAATAAAGCCTGTTTATTCTGGTTCACAGAACCAGAGGCAGGAATCAGAGTCCAACAGAAAAACAGCAAAGAAACTTGAACCAAGGAGACATCAGGGGTAAATCAAACTAGTAGCCAGGGAGAGACGAGACAGGGCAGGCAGATAACAGACAGGAAGCAAGACGGGATGTTTGACGAGGATCCAGCAAACAGGAACTGAACAGGGAGGGCTTTTAAAGGGGACAGAGACAGAGAGAGAGCTGACGAGGAAATTAGCAACAGGTGCTTGGCAGGACAGAGAAACAGAGCAAGGGAGGACACAAGAGGGCAGCAGAGGACAACAAATGGATAACTAAGGAAAACAGGAACAATTAGACCAGGACCCTGACAGTACCCCCCACTTAAGGGCGGATCCCAGACGCCCTAAAATGTCCAGAAACTGAAAACAACCCACCCAGGATGGGCGGAGGGGGAACCAGGGAGGCAGGCACGAAAACAGATCAGAGTCCGAAAACCAAAACAACCCACCCAGGGTGGCATGGGGCAACGAAAAGTCTCTGGAGGCCGGCCGTGGGGCCAGAGCTGAGAGAGACGCTCTGGAGGCCAGCCGTGGGGCCAGAGCTGAGAGAGACGCTCTGGAGGCCGGCCGTGGGGCCTGGAGCTGAAGGGAGACGCTCTGGAGGCCGGCCATGGGGCCGGAGCTGAGAGAGACGCTCTTGAGACCGGCGTCTCCAATGCTGCAGAAACCTAGGAGGAGGAAGCCATCTCCGCCTCAGCAGGATGCACCGAGGAGGACGCAGCCTCCACTTCAGCAGAAAGCACCGAGGAGGACGCCGCCTCCGCTTCAGCAGGATGCACCGAGGAGGACGCTGCCTCCGCTTCCGCAGGATGCACCGAGGAGGACGCCACCTCCGCTTCTGCTGCTCTGCAACAGGCTCAGACAGGGCCGCGGACTGCGGCTCAGGAGCAGACCCAGAGATAACCGCCGACTGCGGTTCAGGAACAGGCTTGGACTGGACCGCCCATTGCGGCTCAGGAACAGGAACTGAGGAGACCACCGACTGTGGCTCCGGATCAGGAACAAAGGAGCCCGCCGATTGCTGCTCCGAATCAGGAACAGAGGAGCCCGCCGATTGCGGCTCAGAATCACAAACAGAGGAGCCCGCCGATTGCAGCTCCGAATCAGGTACAGAGGGGACCGCCGATTGCGGCTCCAAATCAGGAACAGAGGGGACCGCCGATTGCGGCTCCGAATCAGGAACAGAGGAGCCTGCCGAATGCGGCTCCGAATCAGGAAAAGAGGGGACCGCCAATTGCGGCTCCGAATCAGGAAAGGAGGGGATCGCCGATTGCGGCTCCGTATCAGGAACAGAGGAGCCCGCCGATTGCGGCTCCGGGTCAGGAACAGAGGAGCCCGACGATTGCGGCCCCGGGTAAGGATCAGAGGAGCCCGCCGATTGCGGCTCCGGGTCAGGAACAGAGGAGCCCGCCCATTGCGGCTCCGGGTCAGGAACAGAGGAGCCCGCCCATTGCGGCTCCGGGTCAGAAACAGAGGAGCCCGCCCATTGCGGCTCCGGGTCAGAAACAGAGGAGCCCGTCCATTGCGGCTCCGGGTCAGGAACAGGCTCTGATGGGGTCTGATGCAGAGACCATTAGGCAGAGGTGAATAAAGCTTGTTTATTCTGGTTCACAGAACCAGGGGCAGGAATCAGAGTCCAACAGAAAAACAGCAAACAAACCTGAACCAAGGAGACATCAGGGGTAAATCAAACTAGAAGCCAGGGAGAGACGAGACACAGGGCAGGCAGATAACAGACAGGAAGCAAGACGGGATGTTTGACGAGGATCCAGCAAACAGGAACTGAACAGGGAGGGCTTTTAAAGGGGACAGAGACAGAGAGAGAGCTGACGAGGAAATTGGCAAAAGGTGCTTGGCAGGACAGAGAAACAGAGCAAGGGAGGACGTAAGAGGGCAACAGAGGACAACAAATGGATAACTAAGGAAAACAGAAACAATCAGACCAGGACCCTGACACTTCACTACTGGCCTGTAATCAGTCATAAACACTAACCTTTATTCACAACCTAAGCTTTAATTTTCTTCTTTCCAACTTCATTAATTTATTCCAAACAATCAATTCTCTAAATTTTGTAGTGTTTCTCTTAGCTGCGCTGCTTCCATTACAAATCTGCCCAGGGCCTTCAGAATCAGCAGTGCTGGCCTATGCTACTCTTATAATATTTGTGTGGAACGTTGTCTTGAACCAATCAGATTTCATATTTGCCCCACTGAGTGAGCCATGGGGCCCACTCAAAAGTCATAGTTTTCTGTTCTCAATTAGAACAAAATGTTTACAGCCAAGTTAAGTTAACAACAATCTGCATTTTTGATAAGCTTTTGTGAAAAGATATTCTAAGCCACAGGTGTCAAACTGGTTCCAGAAAGGGCCATGTGGCTGCAGGTTTTCTTTCCACCAACAATAGCACACCAGACTCCATTCATATCCTCAAGTCATCTTGTTCACATTGGACTCCCTTGATGAGATGACTGGAGTCTGGTGCGCTATTGCTTGGTTGGAAATGAAACCTGCAGCCACATGGCCCTTTCGGGAACCAGTTTGACACCCCTGTAAGCGAAGTGGATGGAGGGAGAGAAAGACGCATGTTTCTAGGATGTTTGCGGAGAAATGTCCTGGGTTATGAGTAGCTAGGAAACAGGATGCGATTCTTGTGGGATGGAAGAGGGAAACAGTGAAAACAAGGAAGAATAAATACAGTACAGTCAAAAAATAAGAAAAAGAGGAAATAGCAAAAGCCAATTGAAGTGGAATCCAGCACATAACAATCAATTAATGAACAATGTAGAAATTTATGGAAAAACTATGGTTCAGTTAACAAAAAAACAAAAGCAAATATGGTTCAGTTAACAAAAACCATAAACAAACTTGTAGGAGAAGTCCAAATTGTGAAAGCATTGTATAATGGAGACTATATACTGATCACAGTAGCAGGACTCGCTGAATTCTAACTGGCAGCTACTTAAATATATGTTTAATTAAAAATTAGGAGATGGTTTGGTTTAAAATACTTACAGATGCCACCAAAAAATTAATTTGTAAAGGCTGATTTATACTCACAAACCAGGTCGTCTCCATGTGTGTTGAAGTGAATGCAAATGTGCCGCAGACACTCTGCCTCACCTCTCCAAAATTGTAGGTGACTGAAGAGAGTACTGCAGACAAGAGACATCTCATTGATCCAATCTATAACCGCTCAACAATATGCTTATTTTCTGTTTGGTACCTTACCGGCTTGTTTTGTTTGTATGACCGACATTGTGGAAAATTACTATGGATCAGCTAGAAGAGCTAGGTGTGCGAGAACGCTGGGACCGTTTTTCAACCTGGATCCCCGCACTTTTTCACCCTCATGTCCCTCGGTTGTTGCACAAACTTGCCCCCAATTCCTCACCGCCTTGGCCGTATCCAGACCTACAGCTAGTTCCTGATTTTCCCTATGGTCTTGTGGTGTGGAATAACATAGAGCAGACCATGCTTCAATATTGGGCATAAATCAAAAATATCTGCAACAAGCTCACTGCGACACATTGCTGCAGGGAGGATTTCTAAAATTATTTTGCTCCTTCTGAAGGAGGATAATCACTCATGTAGCTGAAAGGGAAACC